GATCAAACGACCATTCAACAACAAAAATAGTTATTAATATATATATATATATAAAATCATAATTTATTGGGTACTTTCAATTGGGAGGTGGCTGTCCCAAACCCTTACCCCTAAATTTCAACTTATGAAAATGATATTGAAATAATTTTGGTATTTTTTTCCATTGATGTTTTTAAAAGTATATTTTTGATTCTTTTAAAAGGTGAAGTTCAAAAAAATATCTATTCTATATTTTCTTAGTAAATTATGAAACGTTATGCAAAAAAAAGTGTCCCGCATTTTTGTAAATCACTACCGAAACAGTGTATGTTTTAGTCTATTGGCCAAGACTGATTTTAACTAAACCCATAAATTTATGATCAGGAAATATTCCTGTGTCCCCCTCTCTCATAGCTACAAGGTATGAGTAGATAGTCTCATCATTTTGAGGTAAATGTGTTCAAAAGTCTGAAAAATCTGTGTGTAACTTTAAGGAACGTCACTACCGAACACCTTTTTTTCTGCAATTAATCACTTTTTTGAGAGTTAATCCATAACATTTAGTTTTTATATGTATACCACTGTTCAGAACTGTGCTAGCTAACCATGTGCTGATTAGCATCTTTGAGCTAGGTTCAAAAGTATCTAAAATTGTCACTACCGAAACATTTGGTTGAGTTTTGGTAGTGACATCTTTGTTTTTTTGGGGTGTTAAATTCCCATAGAATTGTCACTACCGAAACATGTCATCATTGTTTCGGTAGTGACAAAAAGGAACACATAATCCTCATATTTTGTGGAAATAAACTACATTTTAGTACAGTTATGCAATTTTTTTTTGTATTTTAGTAAGTTTTAGTATGCGAGTTAAAATTCTGTAATTTGACGTGGTTGCTACCAAATCATTACTATCACTACCGAAAATATGCTGTCACTAAAAAACATGGGATGTTTTGTCAAAAATAAAGTATACTGAATTATCAACAAAGATGTTATGATAGTTTTGGTTCAGTGTATATTCAAACTAATGAATCCTTAACTTTCAAATCAGTATGATCAACTTTTTGCCTTTTACAAAGAAAATTGGATTCAAAATACAATAAATCTCATAAATTGCACTTGAAATATTGTTAAAAATTTAATTGTTATGGATTTACCTCTGGACATTTTTTTTATAAAATAGCAAAAAATATATATATTTACAATCTAGATGCAAGCAAAACCTCAATAGGTCAATATAACCCTTCTAATTAAATTATCATGTGTTTCGGTAGTGACAAATTTTGTGAGAGGACAAATATACCCAAAATTTCTTTAATACAATATGAGAATTAACTGCACAATTACTAGAAATGTGTACCTTGAATATTATACAATTTGCATACATACAATTTTTTTGGGGAAAAAGACGCTTGCAACTCTGACTTTGGACCAATTCTGTAGAATGCCCCATATATATATATATATATATATGGATGGATAGATCAAAGGAAGGATATATGTGAAACATGGACAAGGAACATTCATTCTCAAGCAAAATACAATTTCCTGTTTCTTTCTGTGATTCGCCAAGTTGACTCCACATGCAGAGATAAAGCATAATGAAATGTGCTCTTTGTAATACTGAATATAATAATCCTATTAATGACAAATGAGATATTGTACATTGTAACTAGCAGCAATAATGTCCACAGTACTCATTTTGAAAAAAAAAGTGTTTGTTCAACTCCTTCAGTGTCACAACAGTAGCTTTGCCATGACGCAAGTGCTCCTTACTCCTCGCACGATTCAAGGATGAAACCAATACATCGAATGCTCCCTCATTCCTCAAGATCCCTTTGCCTGTCCTTTCTGGCACAGTAGTGCCAACCTTCAAATGGCAGCTTGGTTTCATACCAATGTCAGAAGCAGGTCTTGGAACTTTTGGAGGCTACAGGTTCTGCTTAATCCGTCAGATCCTGACTGAGAAGCCAGCAGGAAAAGCTTCCTCTGATCAGCCACTGAGCTCAGTGAGAGAGCCTCACGCAGCTCTGGGACGCTAACAGCATCGGGCTTATCCTGGATGAGGGTATAAAAAGCATTTTAGTCCAGATTCACACTGAAACATAAACAAGGAGGGAGCCTGGCACGCTATTAAAGAGATGAATATCATCAGAGAAAAATGAATATCCAAACCTGTATGACTTCCTTCTGCGGAACACAATGAAAATATTTTGAAATGTTAATTTGATGTTTGCCTTTACAATTAAAGTCGGCTGTGTCCAGTGTTGTTTTAAACCCGTGACTTTGTACGAGTAAAAACAGTCAAAACACTCTTCAAAATAGGATAAACTATCAAATCAAGTAACTTTTATTTATATAAGCAGCTTTACTCTGAACTATCCCTTTAACTAGGATCTAGGAAATCAATATGAAGCCTATCTGACATTATAAACAGGGTTAAAGTTTAAACCAATAACTGAGCCTTTGGTTACCTGCTTGTTTCCCAAGACCACCACTGGTAGATCAGTGTCTGCTTTAAGTAATCGATGGAGCTCGTCTTTGGCCTGAGGGAGCCGGCCTCTATCAGAGGAGTCCACCACGTACACCAAGATATGTGTTCTCCTTAGGTAATCCACCCAGTACATTCGCAAGTCTTCACCACCTCCAACTGATAGGAAAAGATAATCAAAACAGGAATTAACTGTATGATGTGTTATTACTGCCATAGACACAGACAAACAGGCTTTTCTAAACTAAGAAATCATAAATAAGGCATTAACTGAATATTTATTACTTGTAGAGCAGGAATTAAAGTATCCCACATGAGAAATATATGCACTTAATTGTATTTAATTTGTACTAGTAGTGTACTTCAAAGTACATTTTAAAAAACTGCACTGCAGATAACAATTTTAATGAAATAAAAGGCAACATAAGTGTACTTAAGAGAGTACACTTTCATTAAACTAAGTTTCTTGATACATTAGTGCATACTTTCAAAAAGTGCATTTTGTAATAATGTCAAAATAAAGTTTTGTACTTCAAAGTACATTTGAAATCATGTTTTAATAACATTTTGCCGTGCGCTTTATAAAAGTACAGTTTTTGTGTTGGCTAACATGCTAAAGCACAAATGAAGTACTTGATATGAATGTATTATTTGATATTACATTTACGTTAATATATTCTAAATGTACTTAATAGCAACTTCATCATTACAAATGGGTAATTACAAATATATTTAAATACAGGACATAAAAGCTTCAATGGAAATGATATTAAAGTATAGTTTACCATAAATGATTGTCAGTACATTCAGCATAACACTTTAGCCATATTGCAAGACAAAAGTGGTAAGAAAATGACATATAAAGATGTACATAATCCTACTTGAATGGGTTAAACACACTCTCAAGTTCACAGTCTCAAGTTGCATTTAATATAAATTTAAACTATAATACAGTATATTTTCATTTAACTGTAAATAACATGCAATTAAGTGTCAGAAAACATTACATTCAGTATGCACCTAAGTATATTCTTCCTGTAAAAGTACTCTTTTTTTAAAATTATGCTAAATTGTACTTCTTCCTCACAAAGGTATGCGAGGGAACAGAGTGGTCTGGCACTGATCCATACTTTCCAAGAAGTCCAGCTGGCATGCAGGTGTGTGTAGGCTGATGAAGTTGAAGCCGCGTGTGGGTCGGCAGCCCTTCCTGGAGCCCGCTCCGCTCAGCCCCTGCAGAACGCTGCTCTTACCAGCGCCATCCAACCCAAGAACAAGCACCTGCTTCTCACTGCGCTCCTCCTCCTCCTAAATATATACATGTTCATGGAAGAAAAGGGAGTGAAATGAGCAATGGAACAGAATTGGATTTAAAGTCTGTTTATCCAGAGTCTAGTGCTGGGATTTTAGTGCAAGCTGCCGGAATTAATTATGCAACTTCACGTACAAATAGTCAGAGTCTTGCCATCATTAATTAGGGTCTTAGTTGTGTAATAACAGACAGACTGTCCCTGTTACTTTGGCTACTCTGTTGCACTCTACATCAAATGTTATAATATCTTGTGGCACATGCAAATGTGTCTTTGCATTATTGCAACTTTATGTTCAAAATGAAGAATCCATATAATTTTTTTCCGACTTTTTTTGATCAATGAACTTTCATGATCTTTCCCTAATGAATCGTTCAGAACAGTTTGACTGATTCATTGAAATGAACCGACTCGAAAGAACAACTGAACATCACTTGCAAGCAATCTCTTCCAAAAGTAATACCTAGCTGCTGACTGAAATAGTATAGAGCTGAGCATAACTGCATATTTATATTCCCTATAGAAATTTCCATGGCTTTAATATATTTATTAATTTCCATGACTGTTCCAGGCGTGGAAAATATAACATTATGATATTTTCGAGTGTTCCATGACCTTGGGAACTGTGCTCTTCTAAATGTCGTTTTCTTTTTCTTTTTTTGATAATAAACAATACGTTTGCAACAGTTTTTTTGGGGGGGGGTTTCATGCAGATGGGTATTGTACTTTTAGTGAGAAATATAAAAAGCATAACAAATAAACAGAAATTAGATAAAAAATACAATAAGACAAGCAGGATTACTTTTCTCTATGCTATGATTTCTCAAAAAGTACATTTCAAGCATAATCTGTATGCACACGAGTCATGACAGACATACAGTACGTACAGTTCAATTAACAGAGTTCCCTCGACAATTGTCTCTACCTATCAGTCACGCAAGACATGCAGGCGGTGTCATAAAAAGAGAAACCATTTCTTTCGCTTCATACTCACCTCTCGGAACGTGTAGTAGTCTGACTCTGGTGACCATACTCGTCTTTTATAAAAAATATTGAGTGCGATAAACAGCGCGGTCCCGACCGCAGCCATAGCGGCGCTAAACGCCACGGAGATATGACGCAGTACAACCATGAGCTCACCTGAACCCAAATGCCGTGCTCCGTGCGCGAGCTGCCGCTTTTGCTTTCCAGTGCACGTGATCCTCCCTGGCTTGTTTTGAAAAGCACGCGCCCAGTTTCCTTCCAGCGGGTGACAGACAAGGGGCGGAGAAACCGTCATGTCTTGAGATTACAAACGAAGGATGGTAACATAGTTTCGCATGGTAGGGCCTAATATAATAATAATAATATTAATAATATTAATTAATTATTTGCAGTTCAACTTAAATTTGATGTCTGTAAATTGTGTTGTACCGTGGTATGTGTATAACACTAAAACTGTGGTGTATACTGAAACATTTTTGCTATGAAAACAAATGACAAAAACTAACAAAGAGAGTTCAAATCGACTAAAAAGTCATCCTCCCCTGCTCGCCGTTGGAGGGCGTTGTTTAGTTGAAATTTGGAGGAGGATTACTTCCCCATGTTGACCAAATTCCTTTACATGTTCTTTATTCTTGGTAGAGATGCCCATGCACAGTTGACAACTGCAACTGCACACTACTGGATTTGTTTTGGTTCCTTTGATTTAGAGTGAAAAGCAATTAACATACAGCTACAGAAATACCTTGATTATATTGCATTGTCGTAACGACAATGTCGTTAGTTAAGGTAACTTTTATGTCTAAAGTATGATTTAAAAATGCTAAAACACAGAACCATCCTAGTATCAAAGGATAAATTATTACAACGTTTATATTGTGCCCGTTTATGCTATTTTGTTGTTTTATTTTAATATGATTGATTTATATATATTTTTTATTTTGCTTGTCCATCTTTCTTTTTCTAATAAATATATAAAAAGTTTCAAACTCTTGAGGGGAATGTTATATTTTGCGCTTTTTCCTATTCATTTGGTAATTATGTGTAGAATTTATAACAAATAATCATTAGTGTCGCCAATACTGCCATCAGTAGATTCGTGCCAAGCATTTTAAAGAACAATCGAGATGAGTCAAAAATAAAGTTAAATAAAAAAAAGTGAATTTGATACTTAAAAAAAATAATAATTTGATGTCTTGATACTTAAAAAAAAATAAAAAATTATGTCTTTAAAGTGCACTTTGTAATAGCTAATGTTAAATTAAAAGTTTTACTTCAAATTACATTTTTAATCATTACAATTTAGTAAAATTTTCTTGTGCTTTGTGTTGACTAACAGGCTGCTAAAGCACATGTAAAGTACTTGATATTAATTTGAACTGTAATGTGTTATTCCAAATACACAAAATAATGTTCTTTTTAGCAGCATCATATGACCCCTTTAAAGTTAATATATTCTAAATGTACTAACAACTTTATCATTACAAATGTGTAATTAAAAATACATTTATATACAGGACATACACGTTTCAATAGAAATTAAATTAAAATATGAAATTTATTAACTGCAAGTTTACTTCTTATGTTAACTTTTCCAGGGCTTATTCAACCCCTCCAAAAAGTGGTAAATGTCATTACTATCACATCATCACACACTGAATATTAAAAATCCACTTAAAAGTTGATCTTTATTCCAGGACATGTGCTAAATGTCCCCAATACCGCCCATACGTAATAAACAGGAAGAAAACGTTCCATCATTTATAACATACAAAATGATAAAACCTGTCTTGGCTTCTAATGAATAGTCTACATAAAACCAAGAAGAAGAAGAAGAAGAATGAATAGTCTGAGTGTGTCCTGCTACTAGAAGGGCTATGGCCATCACCTGTATGACGTAATCCATTCCAACCGCAGCATAGCGACCGAGCTTGACTACGGGGGAGAACCGCACACAGCCACTTAAAGGAGAAGACAACATTTGGAAACAAATGAGAAAGAAACGCGCTACTTTTAAAAGAAACTGCCGAAATGCTGTGGAAGTGATATGAATGCATCGACAAAACGAGAAGATACGGAATACGTGTGTTTGGAGTAACTGTTTGCGTTGCCTATATAACGAGCTTCTGGGCTAACAAGCTAGCACAGTTGTCGCTAAAACATGGTGGGCAGTCACTGAGCGAAAAAATCCTCTAGACGCGCTGAAATACTTGTGGATAATGCTGGAGAATTGATTCGTTTGCTGTCTTTACTGCTCGGAGGGAATTTGGTGGACTTTGAAATTGCTTTTTGGTTTTCTTTTCTTGGAGGAAAACTCTCGCGCACGACCTTTGAAAGTTTGGCGTTCTGACGTTTCGCGCGAGTTAACCGTCCATCAGGCTCCGCCAGAAAAGATGATTGATTGATGTATTGCGTACTTGACCGAGAATGCACAAGAAACGAAGAGTTTCTCACCATAAGCGCAACTCTTGCGGCAAAGTTACCCGATTCAGAGCATCACACCCTCATTCATTCATTTAACAACGTTCGCTCTTGAAAACAATGCCTAATATATAGGCTGCAGGAACTGAACTGGAATATTGGAAACCGTATCATGGATTATATGGAATACATCTCTGTGGCTAATTAATGGCACTTTCCTTATGCGTTAGGTTTAAATTTGGACTAGTCCATGAAAAGCAACACATGGTTTGCTTTCAACTCAATTTAGAAGACTTACAGAGAAAATTACATGGAGACTAGTTGGTCATGCCAAGGAAGGAGTTACCATTGCCAGAGGGTTGGGAAGAGGCCCGAGATTTTGACGGGAAGGTCTATTATATAGACCATATTAACCATACCACCAGTTGGATTGACCCAAGGGATAGGTACGTGATGAGTACTGCACGTTCTGGGAATGCATACTTGCTTACTCAGTATACAGATGCATGCTGAGTCTATTGTTTATATGTGCAGTTGTGATTCAGTGAATCTGTGGTAATTCAAATCCTCTTTGTTTTGTAATACAGTTCACTTCTCAAATCATATACACACGTCAAAGCACCTAAAATGGATGCATTTTAGGGTCCATTTCAGTGTTTTTTCCATGTTGAAATATTGCTTTGTTTATCCAGGAACCCATGATCAGTGCCAGCTTTACCACTTAAGTCCTCTTGGACTTTAACACAAAATCTGTGCAGGAATGCCTAAGATTATATTAGAATGTTTTCAAGCTCCAGTAGCTCAAGCTCTGGTATGTTCAGCAATTGTGCAACGGGGGTGTTTTTCCTTTCTTCCTTTGGGTTTTTACCGATGTAGTAATTTACAAGGTGCACAGAAATGGAAAGGTGATAGCAATCAGACTGCATATTTTTCCCCTTTGTGTGGTGCAACAGGTTTGCCTGTAGCCTTGAAACCAAGATGGCAGAAAGTTGTAAACAAGTACCTGGGACACATTCCTTAGCATGAGCGAAGCCCACAGCTGAGTCCCTCAAATCCGTTTCACAGCGAGTCAAGGTGCTCGACGGGTTCAAAGTGCACCCGAGCTGTGCAAACTTTAACAAGAATGGTAAAATAGTTTTCAGTGCATTCCACACTTGTTCATTTGATACAAGAGCTGTGTTTTTGGTCAAAATTAAATGGGTACTCCACCTTAAAAATTGTATTTATTTGCTCACCAACATGTTGTTCGAAACACAAATGACTTTATTTTGTGGGACACCAATGAAGATATTTTGAAAAATGTTTCTATGTGTGTTTGTTTTTTTTGTCCATGCGTTGAAAGTCAGTGGGGACCAGTGTTGTTTTAGACACCAAAAACTTTTTGTAGACAAAAAAAACTTTTTTTTCCTTTTTTTCAAATATGTTCATTTGTGTTTAACAGAAAAAAATAGGGGAGGATTATAAAGGAAAGGCCAAAGAAAAAAAAAAGAAAAGAATATGTGATGGCAGAATTTTTGGGTAATTTGAAGCTGACTTGTCAGCCCCACTTTAAAAAAAAAAAAATCCATTTAACCCCAGTGTAATTTTGTTATACTGAAATGGTGCAGAAAACTCAACAGCTTTGAGCTGAGCAACTGAACGGAAACAAAAGCTGAGGCATAACAGACGTTTCCATGCTCATGCCCGGTTGGCTGGTCTTCTTGCACAGTGGTGCATCAAAGGCGCTGATTAAAAATGACAAATATTTCAAATCCTGACCCAAAACTGTCAGCGTACCCACCTCCCTCCATCCCCCTGCATGCATCTCTCAGATGGCTGGTTCTTTCTGCTGAGCAACAGTTAGTTGACAGGGTGTTCTAATGTTAGTGGCTCTACTTGGTAATGAGCTCCCATTTGACAGCCTACCTGTGGCAAATGCCTGGAGTTGCTGAGGCGTTGATTGCCCTCCAGACATTAAATAATAATAATAATAATAATAATAATAATGTGCTGCTTGGAACTGTTTGAAAAATTTGGTTGGGTAATTTATGTGTAATATCAGTGGCTAGTGTAAGTGATAATCTTTTTCATGTAGTCATTTTTTTGAGTAGCTATGTTTTATTTTTAAGTAATATTCCTGGTTCCCTGATATTAACATATAACAATATGTAATTTTTGTAGAAGGAAGTACTTGCAGGCCTAAATCAGTTTTGTGTTTAGCCAGACTGAGGTTATGTTACATGTGATTTGTTTACATGTTACATTTGTCCCCAATTTTCATCAATTTTTGTTATCGTGCTGGCAACTGTCATCTTTGAATGGAATAACCAGGTTTCAGTTTTCCTGGTTGAGAATGTAGCCAAGAATTCAAAATCGTAAGGAGCCAAAAGTACAAACTGAAGTATCAGTAATTGGAATCCAATCACTAATGGTTACAACCTTTATTTAGAGAATGGAGACATTAGCTGTGGTACAGTGGACTGTATATGCTCATGACATATAGGTGGTGTTTAATCACAGGATTTAAATCTTCTCTCTGTCATATGCTTTCCTTTTTATCTTGTTTATGTCTATTGTTCTATATAAACAATATAGGACCATTTATAATTTTTGTGCCTTCATTTGTAATAATAATAATGTAATATATATATATATATATATAAACCAAACGCTATAAGACATGTAATGTACATTTTTGACATTTCACTTAAATTCTTGATCAAATAAGCAAATAAGAAAAAAGGCAAAATAAAAGCAGTATCAGTAGTGGTCTCAGACTTTTGGACCCACTGCTTATGATAGAATTAGAACATCAGAATCAACAGATGCCACATAATTTGTTTTGTTGTATCTGTAAAGTTGCAAACTTGATGTCTAACCACATAAATGCAGAGAAAGCATTCTTGCGGCCTGCCATCATGGACCACACTGGGCGGAACTGTTTTGTTTTGCCTCAGTGTGACATGCTGAAAACATGCGCTCAGGTAAATGGAATGTTATCTCGCTTTCTCTGATAGGAGACTGGCCGTCGTCGGGGTGTAGCAGCGCACTTTTATTGTCGGACCTTGAGCGCGGTGTGCTGCTTGTTGGAGCCTCATAAATGACTCTGGAATTTATGGAGTGCACTGAATGAAAGTGTCTGACTCATCAGTTAGCTATGTCCTGTGTTTGCACTCGACTGTGCGCTTTGTTATTTTGCATTAGACCATGGGTCCTGAGTCTTTGACTTCATAGGGTTTGCTAGGGCTTCAAGAAAAGAACAGGAGACCTTTCTGCAATTCTTGTTTTACATCATAAAAAAAAAAAGCAGGCCATTGCACCATATTCATTCCGTTCCTTCCTAATCATTTTAAAGCGCAAATCTGAACAGCATGCTCTGGGCTTGGGATTTTGAGCTTTTGAGTTCCCTTGGCTCTTGTCCATTTTAAGATCTCAGATACGCAGGCTTAAGCTCCGAGATTAATGTCGTCACCCATTCAGATGAGATGTCAATGAGTCTGGAGAATTATGGCATGAGAAAAAGATGAGTGTTTCTCACTGTAGCCGTGTTCTTTGTTGTGTTGCACACGTTTCTTTTCTCCAAGTTAAATTTAGAACAGGCCAGTGAAGGTCTCTCAGCACAGTTTCATTATTCATAACATGAAAAAGGAGCTAGTTCAGTTTCACCCTCTTTGAAAGTCTTGAATCGACAGGGGAAGGCAACAGCATGCGCTCACTTACTGCAGACAACTGTAAGATGATTTGAATGAAACTGCTTGCCTTGTATGGAAGCATATGGGTAGCAAAATTCATTTTGAAATGTAATTTGCAATATGGCAATGCAGTATGTAAAATGGCAATGCATTTGTTTATTTAAATTTACATTTTGCCATACATATGTGCAACGTTTAGTGCAAAATTAAAATGAAGATGAAGGCATAAAACATGAATTTAATTTATCCTAATCAAATGAAAATTAAACCCTTTTATTTTTTGGCAAACAAAGTGCTGCACAACAGAGGTTTACTGTTAAAATTAAAAAGAAAACAGATGTGATTATTCCTTTAAAAATAAAGATTTATTAATATTTATTAGCAGTAGTAGCATTGAGTCTTAAGACTGCTAAATAGTAATATATTCTGACAGTAGAACGTTAAACTAAACATTTATTTTGACGGGTTGCCGTGAAGAACTTCCAGCTGCTGTGTATGTGACATGACGGTAGATTTCTCAAATGAAACGGTAAATGCTAATGAAGTGACTCAGAGCAGCTGGAGATGACATTCATGTTCATATCATCATA